TGGATTTTATTGACATTTACAGAATATTCTGCCTCAAAGCTATGGGGCATGCTCAAAGATAGACCATGAGTTAGGACACAAAACAAGTTCAAGAATATTGAAACTATATCAAACATATTCTTGAATCAAAATGGCATGAAACTAGAAATCAATTACAATAAAAAAACTCAAAAACATTGAAACACATGGAGGCTAAATAGCATGTAATTAAACAATGAAGAGGTTACCAGTGAAATCGAGGAATAAAAAAACTTCCTTGAAACAAATAAAAATGAATACACAACAACCCAAAATCTGTGGGATACAGCAAAAGCAGTCCTAAGAGGGAAGTTCATAGCATTACTACCTCAAGAAATAAGAAAACCTTTTAATAAATTATTTAACACTAAAACTAATATAATTAGAAAGAGAACAAGAAAAGCCCAAAGTAGAAGGAAGGAAATAATAAAGATCAGAGAGGGAATAAATGACATAGAGATTGGAAATACAATACAAAAGATCAATGAATGCAAGAGATGACTCTTTAAAAAGATAAACAAAATTGATGAAACTTTCGCCAGACTCATCAAGAAACAAAGAGGACACAAATAAATAAAAAGTGAAACAAAAGAGGTGAAGTAACTTCTGACACCATAGAAATACAAAGGATTGTAAGAAAATACAATGAACAACTATGTGCCAACAAGCTGGACAAATTCCTAGAAAAATATAGTCTTCCAAAACTGAATCAGGAAGAATCAGAAATCCTAAATAGTTCAATAACCACTGATGAAATTGAAGCAGTAATCAAAAAACTCCCAGCAAACAAAAGTCCTGGTTCAGATGGCATTACAGGGAAATTTAACCAAACATTCAAAGAACTAACAGCCAACTTCCTCAAACTATTCCAAAAATTTCAAGGAGAAGGAACATTTCCAAGCTCTTTTTTTTTAAGGCCAGCATTAGCCTAATTCCAAAACCAGATAAAAACTCAACAAAGAGCCCAGCAAGCATGGCTTAGTGGTTGATCATCCATCTATGATCGAGGAATTCACAGTTTGATTCCTGGTCAGGGCATGATCAGAACATATGTTTGTGTTGCAGGCTTGATCCCCAGTGTGGGGCATGCAGGAGGCAGCCGATCAATGATTCTCTCTTATCACTGATATTTCCATCTCTCTCTCTCTCTCCCTTCCTCTCTGAAATCAATAAAAATATATATGTTTTTAAAAAGACACTACAAAGAAAGAGAATTACAGGCCAGTATCTTGGATGAACATAGATGTTAAAATCCTCAACAAAATATTAGCAAAATGAACCCAGCAATATATTTAAAAGATAATATACCATGACAAAGTGGGATTTATTCCAGGGATGCACAGCTGGTACAATATTCAGAAATCAATATGTATGATACATCGCATAAACAAAATGAAAGATAAAAAAAATCAAATGATAACATCAGTAGACATAGAAAAAGTATTCGACAAAATCCAACACCCAGTTTTTATAAAAACCCTCAACAAACTGGGAAAACAGAGATCATACCTCAACATAATAAAGGCCATATATGACAAACCTAGAGCCAACATCATACTCAATGGGAAGAAACTAAAAGCATTCACCCTAAAAACAGGAACAAGGCAGGAACGTCTGCTTTCACACTCTTACTGGAAGTCTTAGCCATAGTGATCAGATAAGAAAATAAAAGATATCCAAATTGGAAAGGAGGAAGTAAAACTGTCATTATTTGTAGATGATGTGATATTGTACTTAGAAAATCCTAAGGATTCCACCAAAAAATTACTAGATTTAATAAATGAATTCAGCAATGTAGCAGGATAAAAAATTAACACCCAGAAATCAATGGCATATTTAGCCACCAATAATGACTGCTCAGAAAAAGAAACTAAAACTTTTTATTTTCTCTTTCTGAGATCATTTATCATTGCAACAAAAAAATTAATATACTTCGGAATAAACTTAACCAAGAAAGCAAAAGACTTGTACCCCAAAAACTGCAGGACAATGGAAAAAGAGATAGAAAAGATATAAACAAGTGGAAGAATACATCACACTCATGGATTGGTAGAATCAACATCATTTAAATGTCCATACTACCCAAAGCAATCTATTCAATGCAATTTCTATTAAAATACCAATGGCATATTTCACAGATCTAAAACAAACACTCCAAAAATTTGTATGAAACCAAAAAAGACCCCAAATTGTTGGGGTCTGAAAGGGCGAGGGCTACGCCCTCCATCTTGACCCGGATCCTCCATTTTTGGGCAGCAGCCATTAGCCATGTGTTCAGCAAGGAGTTTCTTCCAGGAAGCCCAAGCCTCTGCTAGCCACACCTAGGATTTCTTTAAACTAACCAATGATAATCAAGGGAAGTGCACGCCATAGACACAACCACATCCTGTGTAACAAGACCCCGACTTGCGCCTGGCCAATCGACAGGGCCCACAGTCCTCTCTCCTCCCCTTACTCCACCCCCCCTATAAAACCCCTCTCCCCACAGAGCTCTCTATGCCTCCTGCTGCTACATTGGCGAGTGTGGTGGACGGGGAGCTCGAGCTAGCTCGAGTAAAGGCTCTTTTGCTTTTGCATCGGACTCGGCTCCCTGGTGGTCTTTTGGGGATCCTGAAATCTGGGCTTAACAGTCCAGCCCCAGCAGGTCCAGGGGTTCCCAAAGGTGTGGACGGAGTCGGTGAAGAAGGAATGACATGGAGGCAGCATTCAGGTGATCATCATAGCCAGGTTCCTCTAGCCAGGATCTCCAGCCAGGTTCTGTCCCGGTTCTCTAGCCATGTTCTCTAGCTAGGTTCTCCAGCCAGGTTCTGTCTTTTATTGTCTTGTTACATCTGTATTTATACTAGTTGATTTTAATCCTGTCAATTTCTATTCCAAAGGTTAGGGCGTTTCTTATCTCCATTCCAGGGAGTAAAGATTATGTAGCTTACGGGTGATTGTTCGTAGTTAAAGTGATTAACTACCCACCTGGCATTTAGTTAAGGGGTTTTATTCCCTCCCTAACTTCAGGGAAAAATCCCTATCTGGGGATACAACCTTTCTCGGAGAGGTGACCTTGGTTAAAACACATAGCACCAAGAAGGTGAGCAAACATATTAAGAACAGTATGCCATATATACCAGGTCCCTTGAAACATATGCTGTGCAGGTGTTTCTTCCCTGCAGCAACTGTGTCAAGCAGCAAGGACGGACCGGCTTCTGGCACCAAATAACCCCAAGAATCTTGGGAAAGAAGAACAAAGTTTGAGGGATAACAATACCAGATATCAGGTTATACTACAAAACCACTGTAATCAAAACAGCCTGATGCTGACACAAAAACAAGCATACAGCTAAATGGAACAGAACAGAGAACCCCAAAATCGAGTTAAATGGAACAGAACAGAGAACCCAAAAATTGAACTAAATTGTTATGCTCAATTAATATTTGACATTGGAAGCAAGAGCATATGATAATGTAAAGACAGTCTCTTCAATAAGTAGTGCTAGGGAAATTGAACAGGTACATACACAGCAATGAAACTAGATCACCAACTTGTATCATACACAAGAATACTCTCAAAATGGATAACAGACTTAAATTTAAGTCATGAAATTATAAAAATCCTAGAAAAAAATGTAGGCAGTAAAATATACATCTCATGTAGCAGAATTTTCACAGATACATCCCATAGGGTAAGAGAAAAAAAGGAAAAAATAAATTAATGAGACTACATTAAACTTAAAAGCTTCTGCACAGCAAAGGAAACCAGCATCAAAATGAAAAGGGAAATCACTGTATGGGACAACATATTTGCCAACGATACATCTGATAAGGGTTTAATTTCCAAGATATATAAAGTACTCATACAACTCAAAAATGGGAGGTAAGCAATTCAATTAAAAGATGGGCAGAAAACCTGAATAGACACTTCTCCAACGAGGACAGTTGCCAGCCCCATATTACCAGGCTGTGGGGCCTCCCTGAGCCCAGAGACTTGAGAGGAGCCCTCCTTCAGCCACACTCCATAGCCTCAGTCCAGATTCCAGGATCCCACCAGCTTCCCTTTGTGGAAGCTAGGAAACAAGCAAAAGAAAGGAAAACAGCCACAGGGTGTATGTGCATTCCCTGGCAGAGGGAAATCTGCTTCCTTATTTATGACTGCCAGACTCATGGGCAACTTTTTCAGTGCATGTGTTTCAAGAAACTTATATTCATGCAAAGGTTCTCTAGATTTCAGATGGACAATAAATCTGAATGCTCTTCTTGAGCTAAGCTAAGCTAATACGGAAATGTGACCCATGTTCAGAAGGCATTTCTGTCCTCGGTTACCAGCCCACTCTGGTTCAGGGCAGTCCAGTGAGCAAGCGCCAGCTCAGAGCAGGCAGGAGAAACGCAGTTGCACCCGGGCCAGCAGCTTTGCGGGCCACAGCCAACTTAATTCCTGCAGTCACTGCAGGGACCAGAAGGCAGCTTGTGGGACCTTAAAAATCCTCTCATTGTCCCCAGTTAACCTTCTGATGAAGTAGCTTCTTGGATATAAATATTTAGATGCTCAATATTTATTGCCCTTGTGGTCCTTTTAAAAATTACTGTTTTTTCCCTTCTCCCGCCTGAGCCGGCTGGGGGCTGGTTTCCGCATCAGGGTGGCATGTTCAGTGGTTGCCATGGAGATTTGGGGCGAGTACCTGCGGCTGGACTGGCAGCAGCAATAGCTGCGGGTATCCTGGAGGCGCCCGAGACGCTGACCCTCTGCAGGGCCTATTGCTGGGCCTGGTGGATGAGGGAGCTGGTGGCCGAACTCTTGGACCCCCAAGTGCAGCGGGAAGCGTGGGACAGAGCGGGCGGCTGCTCCAGACGAGGCCTTGGACGGTGATAATGAAGATGATGCAGAAGATGAAAACAACATTGATAACAGAACTAATTCTGATGGACCATCTGCAAAACAGCCAAAAATATCATCTCAACAGTAGCTCATATGAAATGTAAAAGACGGCTGCCATGCTTGCTTCTGCAGCCCACATACTAAAACTGGAACAATACAAAGATTAGCATAACCCCTGCGCAAGGATGACACACAAATTTGTGACGCGTTAAAAAAAAAAAGAAAAGAAAAAAGACTACAACCATATCGGCATCTGCTCTAATTTAGAAAAGCATTTATTTTGTTCCTCTGGCACAGTTTTGTCAAAGAAAAAAACTTCTGTTTCCAGCAAAGAAAGATATAATAAAATAAATGTTTAGAAATGAAAAAAACAATAACTGTTTTCAGCTGAGACAAAAGGAAAGATCTTACCTATTTGTAAGTGATATAGGTAAAAAATAAAATGAAATAAAAAACTTAGTCTTGTCATAAGAATTGTTTGGTTTTGTATGTTCTGAGTGACAGGAGAGGGAGGAAATGTTGCTAAGCCACACCGCACATCCCTCCCCAAAACTCCACCATCACCTAGCAACAGGCTGCCTGGTATGACCCTCAGGCTACTGAGAAGTAGAACCTCCACAGGTATGTTGCCCGACAGGCCTATTTGCCTCTTCTCTTCTGGACAGTCATTCAGTCTTGCAACAGATGGGTTTACTGAGTGCTTATGAGTCCCCTTGCCAAGTACTAGGGATACAACAAAATGAGGCCTTCAGGGAGAGTTCAGCCTGGTTTTTGGAAAGAGAGAACAGAAACAGATGATTATGCTATCGTGGGGTAGCTGCTAGTATAAAGAAATAAAAAACAGGTTTATCTAAATAGACAAGAGGTCTATCTAGAAGTCTTGATTGAGAGAAAACTGGCTTTATTTGGGAAAACAACTTGATAAACTTCTGGGTCAAGATTTGGCACATGAGAGACAGATGTTGCTGGAAAGAAGAGTCAAGGATGGGAATTCCTGAAAAAAGGTTGGGGGGCAGGGAAGAGAAAAAACTGATAGCCCAGCTATGAGAAATCCTAGCTGGAGGATAAGTATAAAGAATAGTGTGGCCCTATTTGGTTTGGCTCAGTGGATAGATGGTTGGCCTACAGACTGAAAGGTCCCAGGTTCAATCCCAGTCATGGGCACATGCCTGGGTTGCAGACTCAATCCCCAGTAGGGGATGTGCAGGAAGCAGCCAATTGATGATTCTCTCTCATCATTGATGTTTCTATCTGCCTCTCCCTCTCCCTTCCTCTCTGAAATCAATAAAGATATATTTTAAAAAATAAGAGTAATGTGGATTACAAGTTCTTTGCTTTTAAAAGCACTCCCTATAAACCTTCAATAAATATTCTTCTGCTCTGAATAGAATTCAGATCACTTTTATCGTGAAGGGAGAGATCCAAAGAGAAAGCAGCAGAGATAGAAAGCCACAACATGTAGAGAAATGATCAAACAGTTTGTCCAAGGTTGAAAATTGGCACGATTGTAACCTTGAGTGCACAATCACCACACACACACACACGCACACACACACACACACACACACACACACACACACACACGCACGCACATGCACAAATTCAGAGAAATATTGGGATGGTCACTGATTTCCAGTCTGAGAAGCTGGGTAATAAGACCTGAGTTAATCCTATCCAGATCTTAAGGAGTGGTGAGACCTGGGCCAACACCAGACTTTCTTGTAACACAGGTGAGGGGAAGAGAGTCAGAGAAAGGTGCCCAGTGGATGTGACTCCCATAAGAACTTCTGGGAAGAAGAAGGGGGTATGAGCAAAAGCAAACCTCAGAAAATGGAGAATTTGTCATAATGTGATGGGGCCACATTTAGTAAGAAGTAGAGCAGAGGTGTAAACTTCAGAGCTAACATTTCAGCTTCTAAAAATACAACTACATTTTTCTCTCAAATTCACTTCTCAGGAGTATGGCCCTGTCTACCTTCAAGAGCGTCACTATGTTCAGAGGCAGGTAAATGACTAGATAGATAGATAATAGAAAGATGATAGATATCAAGGAAGGACAGAAAACACCTGGAGACTGGTAAGAAGGGCGAGGTCACAAGAGGCATTGACTCAGCTCCCCATGGCAGCAGGCCAGCGGGCCAAGGAGGAGGAGGGAACTCCCGTCCATGGGAGAGTCTATTCCCTCAGAAGATAGAGGCCCAGAGCCCAGGCTGGGTTCCACAACCCAGAGCACCAGATCTGAGACCCACAGCACCCATATCATCAACTGTGAAAGGCGGCAGGGCTGCTGGCTGCAGCGGAGCCTGGAGCTCGTAGACCACAGCTGGATGGAGAGAAAGTGGTAGTTTCATTTTTTTTGTTTGTTTGTGTTTTTTTTTCATTGTGTGTTGTTTTTTTTTTTCTCTAAACTGAGAGCCCAGGAGTTTTCATTTGTAACTACTAACCTGAGGCTTCAGTGCAGGGAGGGAGACATGGACTCCAAGGGCCTGGGGAATGGCTGGGGTGGGAAGCATTGCAGAGAGACTTGGTGGAACAGCAGCCAGGAGCATTTGGTCATAGGTCCCCAAACCAAAACAGCCATTTTTCCTGAGCGGAGCTAGCCACTCCCAGCAGCCAGAGGGCAGATAAAGGAAAAAAAAAACCATCCTTTGTGATACAGCTTGCTCCACCCACAGGTGCCCTGCCTGTTCACCCTGCATTTTGAGCTTTTCAGAAGAAACAAAAGCAGAGGCCATGCCTGTGGGTTTGAACAGTCTCAAGGTGCCATCAGTGACTGGATTGGGGGAGGGACCATCAGCCCCAATATCATGGGAACCAGATTCATGTTTTCTCCACATGGGAGAACTGATAAAAACGCCAGGTTTCCAGCCGACCCCGTTGGTCTCAATACAAGGATCTCTGTCCTACATTCGCAGAGGACTAGCTCTGGGATAGAGAAAAATAACCACCATATTCCCTGAAAGCTAAACAGCACCTCCTCTGCCTAAGGCCATTTGAGAAAAAGACTATTGAGTGATTAAGATTGACAGCTGGCTAGCAGGGAAAGGTGGAAAGTGCGGAGCCAGGGGAACCAGGGGAAGTTTGCTGACCCAGCCCTGGGTCCTGTGCGGCTAACAAACCTACTTTCGGGGGCAGATTGGCCTCTCCTGCTTGCAACCAAGTCCTGTGGAGACAGACACAAGCAGTGGACTGGTGGATCCCTTGGAGCTTCAAGCAGGTTGCCAAAAGCCAAAAGACAGTGGCTGACAGTGGTTAGCACCTAAGATCCTAACAGGAAGCCCAGAAATGGCAGATAGATAATCAAAGTGGGATCCAAAGTGAGCTCCCATGGAGCATTAAATGCAACTAAAACAAACACCACTTCGTTTTTTTCTCCTTTTTTCCCCCTTTTCTCTTTTTCCTCCTTTTTTCTTCTCTTTTCTTTTTTGAGTTTTTCCTCTTTCCTTGCTTTTTTCCCTTTTAATATTTGTCTTTTTTATCTGCTTTATTGATTTGTTATTATTCTAGTCTCTGTTGTTTTGTTCATATATCTAATTTCCCTATTCTCCTTTCCTACTCAATTTTTTTCTTTTTTCTTCTTTTTACTACTTAATTTTTTTCTCTATTTTCTTTCTTTTTTCTTTTCTTCTGCTTTCCTATGTTTTATTTTTCTCAACTTATGACTATCTGCTTTCTCCTCTATTTTTCTTTTCAAATTTTTTCTTATCTACTCATTTCTTTTCTCCCTCCTTTATTTTAAACTGCTTTCCTTCCCCCATTCTTCTAATTGTTTATTCTTGCTTTCTTTGTTTCAGCCCTGCATCTACATATTCTGCCCCCCTTGAGGGTTTTTTTTTGTGCTTTTTTGTTTGTTTGTGCTTTTTGTTTTCTCTTAGTATTTTTTTCTTTCCTTTTTTCTATCATTCTTTTTCTCTTTCCTAACTCTCTACTGTGGTGGTTTCTTTTGTTGGTGCTGTAAGGGTCTTATGTATGTTTCTTTTGTATTATTTTATTGTGTTTTGTTCTGTTCAATCAACACCTTCACAACAGCTAGCATGACATGATCAGGGTGATCCATATAGTCAGCCAACCTGAGAGGAGATTCCAACCATGTCAGGATAATAAAATTCAAAACACAACTATAAGAGGAGAACCCAAATAATTCAAATAATGGGCTCTCCTAGAGCACCTAGCTCAGGAGATTTAAAATACTACACCACTGAGCCCCACAAAGCACCAACTACATAAGACCACCCCACAAAATCTGGGAGGCATAATAATTTGATCTAATACATAGACACACAAACAAAGGGATAGCAAAAATGAGGAGACAAACAACCCACAAATGAAAGAATTAACATAGCTGAAATAAAGAACACCCTTGAAGGTTTCGACAGTAGACTAGAAGAAGCTGAGGAATGAATTAGTGAATTATAAGGCAAGGTATAAAAAACACCCATTCAGAGCAGCAAATGGAAAAAAAGATTAAAAAGCAGGAGGAGAGTTTAAGGGAGCTTTGGGGCAACATAAAACACAACAACATTCTCATCATAGAGGTACCAGGAGGAGAAGAATCCAAGCAAGGAATAGAGAATCTGTTTGGAGAAATAATGGTGGAAAATTTCCTAACCCAGTAAAAGAAAAAGTCACTCAAGTCCAGGAAACATAGAGAGTTCCAGCCAAAATGAACGTCAAAAGACCCATACCTAAAACATATTAACTAAAATCGCAAACATTAAAGACAAAGACAGAATCTTAAAGGCAACAAAAGAGAGACAGACAGTTACCTACAAGGGAGCTCCCGTTAAAATGTCAGCTGACTTCTCAATAGAAATACTTCAGGCCAGAAGGGAATGGAAGTATACAAGGTAAAGAAAACAAGGGAACTGAACCCAAGACTACTCTATCCAACAAGGTTATCATTCAAAATCAAAGGTGAAATAAAGAGCTTCCTAGACAAAAAACAGGATAAAAGAATATAGTAGACCAAACCAACATCACAAGAAATGCTAAAGGGACTGATGTAAGAAGAAGAAATAAAGAGAAAGAGAACAAAACAGGCATAAAGTATAAAATGGCAATAAATAAGTACCTATCAATAATAACCTTAAAGATAAAAAGCTTAAATGCTCTGATAAAAAAACATAGAGTAGCTGAATGGGTAAGAAAATATGACCTATGTATGTGCTGTCTATAAGAGATCCACCTCAAAACAAAGGACTCACACAGAATGAAAGTAAA